AGTCCCCCTCGCCTCTTTGATACCCATCAGGCTACTACTACAGCCAGTCATCAGACGATGAGAGCGTTTCTCCCGCTTCAGTACCAAAGTCCCATAAGAAAATGGTTGTTGTGGGTTTGGCATCTTCAGAGGACAGCACTCTGTGCTCTGGTGTAGTTGGCTTGGGAGTGCAGTATTTATGGCTGTGAGATAGTCTTTTGTCTTTTTCTGTAGATGGGTGATTAGTGTGTCTTGTTGTGGGTGTATTGTTGTGCTAAGGAGAAGAGATTATCTGTCACTGTGGTTGATGGGTGTCATTAGCTGGTCTTTTGTGTGTAGTGATCCCCTTTCCTTGTGGCTGGGTGGAGTTCATTGACCTTTTACACACTGTATTTTTGAGAGCTGGGAGCCAAGTTTTGTTGAGCTTCATTTGTGAGAAAACTCACAAATGGCACACCTCAACTGCACCAGTTTCATCAGCTTTAATACCGAAGAAGCCAAAACCATTGGCCAAGCCTTCTATACCACCAGCTAACATGGCTGCCTTTTCTTGGGACCGTTCATCATCCTTGCACAGCATCACGACTTACACTGGACCGCCGCCCGGTACCGTGGACTCAAAAAAACCCTAAAAAACGGAAGCCAGACCTCTCAGCCCAATTTATACCAGGCAAACGCGGTACCGGAGCTTCTAAGCGCCACCAGCCAGACTCCCCTCCTGATAGATCTGCCTCTTCATATCAGCAAGGTTTATCGCTTTCACCAGCGTATTCTTCAGACTCGGAGTCCTCCATTTCCATGATCTTACAAGAATCACCCCCCAATCTTCTGACTCCTGATTCCGATGTAGCTGATGCTAACCCTCCATCACAATTGGAGGATTTCTCCTCCTATTCTCAGTTAATTCTCCGTATTGGCAAAACCATGGACCTTGATGTCCAGCAACCAACCCAATCTGAATCTGACAAGGTATATGAGGATATCAGTGGGGATCGGATACCCCCACTTTGCATGGGGTTCATCCTGTTGCTGTTCAAGCTCATTAAGCAGTCTTGGGCTAAACTGTCGAGAATCTGTACAAGACCCTCGGTACTAACATGGAATTTCTCTCCAAGCATCCTTCTCCTAATTCCGTTATTGTTGATGCAATGCAAAATCGTTCATATAATGTTCTAACACGACTCCAAACAATTAAAAGGGTAGGAAGTTAGACATTATTGGATTAGAGTTTATTCTCTCGCATCTTTCACCCTACGAGCTGCCAACTATTTAGCTGCAATGGGAGCCTATCACAGTTTTCTCTGGAACAAGGCTCTTCCATCTCTACAGTTGGCCTCTGGAGAGTACAAACCTCGGGGTCTCACTTTTCACCAAGAGGCTATGGAATTGGCACAACAAGAACATATCATGGCATGACATATAACTGAGGCAGCTTCTAAACACATGGCCACAGCTGTAGCCTTACGTAGACATGCCTGGCTATATTCTGCGAACATCTCAGAGGACTCTTGGATGTGAACTGAGGACTTACGTTATCAGTGGCATTATCAAATATCCCCTCCTACCAGTACAAGTCTTTCCCAGAGAAGCAGTGCTACTTACTTCAATCATCTTCCACGTTCCAACCTCATCAGGACACTCGGAGACAGCGCCCTCGCCAATCCTTCAGGCACCCTGACAAGAAGAGCAAGCAGAACCTTTGACTCTGACCATTCCGGTCTGTACTCTATCTCCTCCCATCACCACCCACCTCGCACCCCATTTTCAGTCTTGGGCACGCATAACCACAGATTTGTGAGTTCTATCAATGACATCCATCTGATACACGATAGAATTCTTTTCCATACCGCCACCACAAATCATTATAACTTCACCATTCACGGCTTTCAAATCAGAGATCCAGTCACTCATCTCAAAGGAGGCTATCTCACTCATCACCCCAAGTGCTTCCGACCCAGGTTTCTTCTCCCTATATTTCCTCGTTCCAAAACAAGACGACAGTCTATGCCCTATTCTCAACCTCTCCGACCTCAATTGCTTCATCATTTAAAGGCGTTTTCGCATGGTGACTCTAGAACGTATCCTTCCACTTCTACAAGAGGGAGACTGGTTCTCTGTCATCGACCTGAGTGACACCTATCTTCATATCACCATCAGGCACAACCACCGCAAATTCCTTTGCTTCTCCCTCGGTCACGCCACCTACAAATTCAATGTCCTACCGGCCGGGGTCTCCACTGATCCACTAAATGGATGGATGACCCCTGTAGCAGCGCACTTTTGCACCCTAGGAATTTCGGTGTTTTCGTACATCGACGACTGGTTACTCGTGGCTCCATCGCGAGCGCAAGCTCTGAAGGACATTGCTGTCACTCTTTCTTTACTGGCAGATCTGGGCCTCAGGGTCAATGTTGACAAGTCAGTATTAACTCCCTCTAAAAGAGTCACATAGATGCAGTTCTAGACTCACATCACGCGAGGGCTTTTCTTCCTCAGCAATGTGCAATCAAGATACATACTCTTGTCACCCACTTCCAGCCTTGCACGCTGGTCACTGCTCATCACATACAATGCCTCCTCGGCTTCATGGTCTCCACCACATCTGTCATTCAACATGCCCAACTAAAAATGCACTAGTGGCATCTCTCCATATTAGACCTGCTTCTCGACCCACCCGCTATGCTTCTACAAGTCACTCCCAAGTGTGCATCCCAGCTGATTTAGTGGATCCCACTGGCCAATCTTTTTCTTGGATGACTGTTTGCACCTCTTCAATTGGCAATTCAAATTACAACCGACGTCAGTCCTGTCAGTTGGAGTGCACATTGTAAAGACCTGCAAATTCATGCCACATGGTCTCATCACGAGAAAACTCTCCACATCAACAACCTGAATTGCTGGTGATCTTCAAAACGTTCTGTGCTTTTGAACCACTCATTATGGGCACCACAGTCCAGGTGACCATGGACAATAATACGACAGCACTTTACTGTATCAACAAACAAAGGGGTATGCACTCTCTACCCCTCCTCTATCTCGCTGTCCAGTTTTGGGAGTGGTGCCTGGATCATCACATTTTTCCTATAGCGGTCCACATTGCCACACAACACAACCAATTAGCAGACTTTTTCAGCAGGCTGAATTCTCAGATGCACGAGTGGTCCCTCGACGACACCATTTTTCTCCAACTTTGTAACAAGTGGGGTCATCCCGATATAGATGCGTTCGCCACAGTGATCAATACCAAATGCACCCAGTACTTTTCCAGAGCGGGCATCGGCTGAGGGTCTCTCGGCGATGCTCTCATGGCAAGTTGGACCACACATTTCCTTTACCTCTTCCCACCGATACCAATTCTCCTAGGAACCATTGTCAAATTGAGACACGACCACGCAAATGTCATTCTGATCGCCCCACGATGCTCACATTGATGGCCTCTTAATCCATTCGTCTACCTTGCCTTCCTCATCTGCTCCCCCAGCATCACGGACAAATTTGCCATCCCAGCCTCCGATCCCTGCACTTAACAGATTGGAGGATCCTCTCTCCCTCTCTCCCTGAACACCATCCTCACCCATGCCAGAAAACCGACCACAAATCAACTTTATGTATACAAGTGGTCTGCTTTTCAAAAGTTTGCTCGTCAGAATGATCTTCCGACAGCTCCAACTACTCTTTGAGCAGTGTTCGGCTTTCTTTCTTATCTTTTTGACTGCCATCTCTCATTATCTACTATCATGGTCTACATGTCCGCTATTGTAGCTTACCAACCACAGGACTCAGACGCTGCCTTGTTATTTAGGCATCCCACGCTGAAGTGGTTTCTTTGGGGGTGTGTGGCTTATATTAATCCACCCAGGCCCCCTCCGACCCCACAGTGGTCTCTACACACTGTCCTCTGGTGCTTGTCATTGCTGCCCTTCGAACCTCTTGCCACTTCCTCCAGGTGCTTGCTCTCCTTTAAAGTGTTGTTTCTCGTAGCCATCACATCCGCCCCTAGGGCATCCGAACTAGCAGACCTCCGTGTAGACCCTCCGTTCCTGAAATTTCATCCAGATAAAGTCACCCTATATCCAGACATTTCTTTCCTTCCTAAGATTGTTTCTGATTTCCGTGTCTGCCAGTCAGTTGTCCTATCTACCTTCTTCCCGTCACCATCAACAGGTGTTGACCGATCCCTCAATCTCTTGGATGTGAGACAGACCCTCGCCTTTTATGTTAAAAGAACTGCCTCGTTTCATAAGTCTAAGAGGTTGTTTGTATCGCCTCATCCACCGCATAGAGGGCACAGGTGTCCCCCAAAACTATTTCACAATGGATTGTGCAGACAATATAGCTCACTTACCAGCTTGCCCGAAAACCTCTGCCTGCTGATGTCAGGGCTCACTCCACCAGGGCAATGGCCACCTCCACGGCTTTTCTTGGGGGAGTACCTGTGCCAGATATTTGCAAGGCTGCCACCTGGTCAACTCAATCAACATTTGCATCCCATTATCGTTTGAATGTACTGGCCAAGGCAGATGCAGCTTTCGGTCATGCAGTCTTGTCTTCGGTCTTGCCGTGTGACGTCCCTCCACCTGTAAGGTAAGGTTGTTCCTCACCCATTAGTGTGCATTCACAGAGACCACGAAGAAGAAAGAGAGGTTACTTACCTGTAACTCTGGTTCTTTGAGTGGTCATCTGTGAATTCACACTTCCCGCCCATCCTCCCCTCTGTCCATCATGTCTGTTTCATTCTTCAGGCAGCAGTGGGCTTTTTTGGGGGGGAGAACTGAAATCACCACGACGGGTGGACCATGTGTCCTGGGGACGTGGTCCTAGCGAACGCGTGTTTGAGCTCTAGAATATTCCGGAGACCTCTGCGCAAGCGCAGATTAAACCCATTAGTGTGAATTCACAGATGACCACTCAAAGAAACAGTTACAGGTAAGTAACCTCTCTTTTGGATACATTTCCTGCATATTTGGCTTTTTTTCTGTACTTTATCCATAATTTTGTTAATAATGCTCTTTCTTTTCTAGGGATCAGCAGATTCGTACACAAGCAGGCCATCAGATTCTGATGTCTCTCTGGAAGAGGACAGGGAAGCCATCCGCCAAGAAAGAGAGCAGCAAGCAGCTATCCAGCTTGAAAGAGCAAAGGTGCCCCTGTCTTTCCCTCTCTTCCCCTCTCTCTGGGTGCTTCTAGATGGTGCAGTTATTGTACAATTTCCCTGCTTCAAACACAACATTTTATGTGGAGGTTAGCCCAAGCAATATTTACCCCCTCTACCACTTTTCCCCCCATTGTTTTTCCATCACTTTTCCCATTTTGTTCTTCACCAAGATGCATTAAGAAGGGAGAGTTGGAATTTACAATGCTTTTAACACCTTCATGTGGAATTAATCTCTCTTTTCTGGAAACGAGATGCTAAGCATTTGAGAAATCCAGTGGCAGGTGTGGCAATTTCCTGGGGGAAAAGTACTAATTAATTTCTTGGGAATGACTAGTAATTCACCTCTTTTAGCTACAGGTTTCGTGATATTTACTGCAACTGAGCCAAATGTTCTCCCCACTTGTCACCATTAGAGGTGGCAGTTTTTATTTCCAAGGATCTCTTTTGGTGTTGGGGAATATCAGGGCCTTTCTCTCTGGAATATATGCTGCGGGACCGGGGAAAAGTACTAATTAATTTCTTGGGAATGACTAGTAATTCACCTCTTTTAGCTACAGGTTTCGTGATATTTACTGCAACTGAGCCAAATGTTCTCCCCACTTGTCACCATTAGAGGTGGCAGTTTTTATTTCCAAGGATCTCTTTTGGTGTTGGGGAATATCAGGGCCTTTCTCTCTGGAATATATGCTGCGGGACCCCCATCAGGGGCTAAGCATTCCTCCCACAATCCTCTAGTGCACAGGTATTAGCATAAGGTATTAGCATATGCTAATACCTGTGCACTAGAGGATTGGCAGGGCACCCCAAAACACTGAGGAGCTCTCTTGGCCTCTGGCAGGATTGGTGCTGTGCAGCCCTGTACTGAGTGGGAGGTGTAGCCAGGGGGTCACCATGACTTGGGGGGCAGGCCACAGAAGGTGGTATGAAATGCAAGAGCTATTCCAACTCACACCTTGCGGGGGAAATACTATGTCATAAAAGTGGTTTTCCTAGGGGGAGGCTCATCCATTGCACTTTGGGTGTGCTGGTGATCCCTGTGGTTTCTCCAAATGTGGGGAACTCAACTGCATAATTTGTGTTAATGGGAGATTGTACTTGTGATTAACCCTGGTTTTTCTAAATACCTTTTCATCTCTATTTTTCCTCAGGACCTGTTTCAAAGGCAGCAAGTCCTGATTTGATGTCTTGCATTGCATTCTTCCTCTTTTCCTCCCCATTGGTAAAGGAACAGGGCAAAAGGAGTCATCATTATCAGGAGCCGGTGGCTGATTTGACTCCTTTCATCCTCTTTCTTTGTTGCTGGAGAGAGAAAGAGGGGAATGGCGGTCTGAGACCCACTGCATTTCTAAAGACAGTGTAGGTGAGAGCTCCTCAGTGTTTTGGGGTGCCCCACCGGACCCCTATCAGGATGCAAGACGATGTCTTCTATGGATAATTTTCTAGAATCGTTTTCATCTTTTTCCTTCATCAGGACCTATTGCAAAGACAGCAAGGCCTGCTTTTTCCCAAGGTAAGGCTCATCCATTGCACTTCAGCTGTGTTGATCCCTGTGATTTCCCCAAATGTGGGGAACTCAACTGCATAATTTGCGGTAACGGGGGATTGCATTGGTGCTCTCCCTGGTGTTTTTAGAATCTCTTTACCCTTTGGTCCTTGGCTATTTTCACCATCCTCTACCATTTAAATTTGCAGCCATGGCCCTGCTGGCTTTCCAGGAGGCAGATCCTAGAAAGCCAGCAGCATATACTTTCTCCCCCACTTTTTTTGGGATAAAAAAGTGGGGGATATAATTAATGTGTTCTAATAGGGGGGAAACCGTCTTGCGAAGCATCGGTCTTTAAAAAAAATAATCTTGTGAAGCATAGGTCAAAACATTGTCTTGTGAAAATTGTCCATAGAAAACATTGTCTTTTGATGTGCCACAGCGATTGCAAAAACCCATCGTCTTGTGGATTAATCGTCCCGCGAGGCAATCGTCTTGCGAGGCACCACTGTAATTGTGTGAATTAGTCCTAAGTGACATGTTGAGGTAGGGAAGGAACAGGAGCCCTCAAGGTCACCCTACAAGTAATGAACTGGCTAGGTTCTAACTGGAATACAAGCTATCTGGTGGAACAGAAGGCAAACTCAACTTACTTCATTTGGCTATAATCCTTAATATCAGTTTTTATGCTAATTTTATAGATCAGGTTTTATAAATGCAAGCTCAGTTCCAGTGTTCCCGGCCACAGGTCACTTTTGAACAAGCATCATTTGGGGAAAAAAAAAGCTTTGAGCCTTGCTCTCTAAAGCATCGCCACCGTCTTCTAACAGTGTGTTGCTTGCTGCCTCTGTGCCCCTTTCCCCCTTGCCCCATTTGCTTTGCACCCCTAGCTGCTCCACCTTCCTACTTCTGTATAATAGGATTGTATTTCCATTCCCAGTCAAAGCCGGTAGCGTTTGCTGTGAAGACTAATGTCAGCTACTGTGGGGCACTGGATGAAGATGTTCCCGTACCAAGCACTGCCATCTCTTTTGATGCTAAAGATTTTCTACATATTAAAGAGGTAACAATGTGATGTCATAACTTTTATCTGTCCACAGTTTGAGCCTGAATAGCTAGCTTTGAGCCATGCGATATACAAAAGTGAAGCTGAAAAGCAGCCAGTATTACTGTATATCAAGAGTTTTA